CGTTTTTTGACACAGATCATGTTTGTTTGATGCTTCTATCTTTTCTATTTGTACTCTGTCCATAAAGTATTACGTCTTGATGTTTGCACTGGTTTTCTCGCTTGACTTTGAATAAATACTGTTCTGTTAATTACGTAACAACAAGACTGTGTTTCAGTTGGAAGATACTGTGAGCACATGCTCTCTGGATGCTGCGTGAATTTATATGACTTTAAAAACTCATGTGAAGAGCATCATATAAAATATATGCAGGAAATTCATATTCTTATCTAATCAGTTGGTTCAAGTGTTGGAATTAAAGAGGTTCAGAATAACGATGAAACACAAACGAGTAATAAAGCAACAAATAACATAAAATGTTTTTACAAATCTGTTCTGAGATGTTCACTTTTCAGATCATTTACGAACATTTATATAGATGCAGATTTGCCGTGTTCTTTTCACCATTTTGAATTCTGTTTTCAAAGTTTTAGTAACTTCAGTAAATGCAGAAAAAAATAATTAAAAGCACTTAAACAATGTCTTTAGTGTAATCTGCTCCTCGTTCTGCCTATAATTAAGGCTCTGTTATGAAAACATGTTGTGATTCAGAGACATTATAGTTTAATTTAGCAGTGAGGCACAAGGGGCTAAAGTCTAATATGAAATCAGAGCCGCACAGACAGATTTGAAGCAAAGCTTTTCATTTGTTGGAAAAAAACATCTAATCAGGTTTTGTGCATTTGTTGTGTGTTTAAATAGTTGTAGATTTTTAATAAATGATTACCGTCTGAGAGTTTAATGAAAGTCTGTTCAGTGATTCATGATATATTTTGCTAACAGACAAACAGGGTTGACTTTACTGTTAAAGCTTTTAGCAACATGACAAAATGAGGCCAACCTGGTTAGCCAAAATACTAACTTCCCAGCAACATAAGGAAACTTCAAACACAGAGCTACACTGGTTCTCACGATGTAAAGATTTGCAAACTTTCCCCAAGTTTTGAAGTGGTTATAGAGTGCAGGGTCACCTGAAGGATACCTGACCCCTGACCTCTGCGTGTTCAACAGAAGCCTATAAACAACCCAGAGACACCGAGCTTTCCTAGATCCAAACATCTCCTCTGTGTCTGGGAGAAAGTGATAGTTCATGTTTGAAGGTGTAAATCAAACAGACAGATGAGCAACAGGTGGGTGAATCTCTGCTGGCTGGGAGGAACGAAAAGTAGAAAAAGTGGAACATTTGGATTTGTGGGAGAAATGAAACGAAAAGAGGATAAACGAGCACGCCTGTTTTTCCACGTTTCTCAGGATGAAGGCAACTTTTACCCCATCCTTCCTTTTTTCCCCAGTTCACATTGAAGTTCCTTGTTTCGTTAGCTATTTTGCACATTTGCTTTATTTTATTTAAGTTTTGTCAAAGTCATGAAAACAAAGACCATACATTTCAACCCTGCTTCCCTTCGTAGGTGGTCCATTTGATCCTCCTCTCATCATGAGCTCCTGGGTGGTGAACAGGAAAGGAGAGCCGCAGTATCGCCGGCACTTCCTGGCTGACAACAGCATATTTCACGGTAAGTGTCAAAGACAAACAAAGATAATAACACACTGTATGGAACACAGGCTTACTTACACAAAGCAGTCGCTCTGATGATGGCATGTCGGGGGCGTGAACACTAGAGGGAGACTCGCTGTCATTAATCAGAGTTTAGTGTCAGGAAACAGCCYGTTGGGATTCTGGCACCTAACACTGATAGCTGCGGAAACGTGTGGAGGACTTTGTTCAGAAAAGATGTTTACAGAAACTTCAGTCTTTTTTAAAACAACCTTTGGTTCAGAGAAGACAGCGGCATTTCTGGGTAGTGCTCTCTCTTTGCATGATAGAGCTTTGGCATGCATTTTGCAAACGAACTGTGTTGACAGACAAAGATTTGTAGACCTGAGCTCACGCAGGGATGTCCCGAATAAAATCAGACCTGCTTAAAGTGCTGCAAACACCCAGCCTTGTCTCTCTGCACGCACACTTCTCCAGATTCTGGAAATAGTTTCGCGATTTCATGAACTGTGGATGATGGGATCGTCTAAGTTGTCCCAATTTTTCATAGAGGACCATTATCCTGACATTGTATCACTATTTTTATACAGTTTTTCACAAACTGGTGAAACTCTGCCCATTTTTAAGACAGACTCAACTTCTCTAAAATACTGAAGTCACTTGTCGTCACTTCCTGTGCAGCCAAAAGCTTTTTTTTTTTTGCAGACATGTTAGGATATATAATCTKGTATACATTATTGTAACATTAAATGCACTGTTAAGCTTTCTAAAATGGCATTTGCATGAAGAGTTGTGCAATTAAACCACTTCTCCAAACTATAGTGGTTCAAAACGCCACAGTATGTACAACAGGTAGGATGTTAACCATTCATAACCTCACTTTAAAAGATCATTATGTCAAGCACCTGTGCTGTTCTGTTAAATTCTAAATGAGCCACCATTCCTCTGTTCTCCCCGTGAAGCAGAACTAAAKCCAGTCATGTTTCAGGATCAGTTAGATTTTAATCTGTGTGTTTCTGACATGGCGAGGCTTCCAAATAAATCTGTGACAAATCTGATAAGTTGGTCTACCTCCGTGGCTCTCCGACCCACAGCAGGCTCACTGTTTACTGCCAGGACCTACTTCCTGCTCCTGTGTGGCTTCCTGTTTGTCAGCAAACAGTCTGGAGTGTGTCAGTGGGCTTCTGTGAATGGCTGATTCACCTGATTAAAAATGAACACACCAGTCTGTTTTTAATAGTCTGTCTGGCTCAGACATGATCAAATTTATGTTTCTTTTGCTAATATAGTGGAAAATGTAAGGAAATTTGTTTTTGGTAGATTATTTCTTTGTTGTAACAACGCTTGGCACCTGGCAGCACCTGGGGGAAGCAGAAGCTCGAAACAAGTTAATATCAACAGCAAAATAAGCCGTTTTTGCAGTGGAAATCTAGTAATTTTTTATGTGTGCAACCCATTCAGCTCTACTGCTCATCTTACAAATGCTTGTTCCTTACAAATGTGGCGCCATTTAAAAAGAAAATAAACAGACTTTCCAACAGTATAAGATTTATTGCCAAGAAGCAWTGTTATAACAAAGAAATAATCTACCAAACACAAATTTCCTTACTTTTTGTGCTAAATTTATATTTATTTGGGGAAAAGTTGTCACAATGGGCCTCTGATCATGAAACAAGAATTAAAGAACGTCTTTATTCTCTAGAACAGCATAAATATTTTCAGAGGTTTAAGATAGAAAGATTTGTATTTTTTGCCAAACGTTAGATGTGTGTCAGAATTTATCCCTTCGTGTCAGTGACAGCCTGTCCTCAGCCAAAGAGCACTTTGTAAACATTTGTCATGCCCTCAGTTTGTCTCTTTTTTGATCATTTTTGTATGAATTGCAGAGTGTCTGATGTTTTTGTTTTGTCCTTGGTTCATAAATCAGTCAGGGTGGGGAGGACTTGGGGATCAGGCAGATGTGCATAAAACTGTGAACCGTTAATCAAAGAGCGCGATCACTGGGAAGTCTCAAATACCTGCTGCCGTCACACATGATGCAGATGTGACAAAAACGCAGCATCAGAACCAGMATTTGGATAAAGAGTTTTGGGATTCCTTGATGGAATGAATATTGCCAGGTCCTTTTTATGCAGTGGGTTTCAGGATCATTTTATGATAAGAAGGGAAAAATTATAGCTGTTATGCTCTTAGTTTGTTGTGGATGACACTCCACACAAAACATGTATTCAGTATATGTAAAACTGAAAGGGTTAGAGACATTTTTGTGCTTTCGGCTGGCTCCAAATGTTAATCAGTAGATGTACGTCCAATCCTTATTTTCTGAGATTTTTGTTAAAATCAATATTTTGCCAACAGGTAACGTTWGAGTTTTAGGCAAATATGTTGTACTTGGTTTGGGTTGTAAATTAAACTTRTCTCCTGCCACCCACATTTTAGTTCCATATATGTTAAATTGGCCTGTTTTGTGTTTTCTAAAACCAATTGGCTGTGGAGGCCGTCTTGAATTAGGTTGACTCCAAAAATTAATTAATTGCGAACACACAATATTTTTTTTTTATTGAAAGTTTCATTTAAATCCTCACAGTGGTCCTGGAGATATTTTGCTTGCAGACAGGCAGAACTGACCCGAGTAGTTGGATGCAAATATTTGAAAACAGATCATGCACAATGAGCTAGTTTTCAGATCATAAGGTGAGGGTGACTGTCAGCTACTGCCACACCAAATGTTAGCTTGATATTAGTAAATCTTAAATCGGATTGGCTCTGTGAGGTTATTATTTGTAGAGGTTCATCCAGGGATCAGTTTTTTTAGAGTTCCATTAAAACCCAACCAGTGATTAATTAGATATTTTGCTAACAAGCCAGACAAATGGACGCACAACGACAAGGGAAACATTCTCGCCGTTTTGGCCTCTGTGGCAGTTGATGAAATTAAAAGACAACACTGATGGGTTGTAAAAAACCTCTGCTTGTGTTTGACGGTGAGTTCTGCATGGAAATGAAAYGGCCTTTCACGTGGACCAGTGCTCAGGACTAATCTGCGAGACTCACTCTCATTAGAGAAATGGCTCCTGGATGGAAGCRCACAAACAGAGCTTTGAAAACAGGCTCGTAAATAATATCAACCCTTTCCCACACTGTCAGTCTCTCTCTGGGGTCTTTGAGGAAGCAATGACACCTGAAATGAGGGAGCTTCACACAGAGGCAGGCGGCGTAAAGTGGGTCAAARCGCTGCGCAACGATGCCTCTCCCTCCATTTCAAGCGATTCACTGAGGAAAATCTGCGCCAAAATCCAAACTGGATGTGGCATGAAATCGTTTCAGAAGGACCCGCAGCAAGGAGACATCAGAAATGCCCCCCCACCCCAGATGGCCTTGTCTGGTCTGGTGTCCGGTCTGCGCGCCCCTCAGTCCCCCCCCGCCCTCTCTCTCTGAGCTCCAGCTTATTACCAGCCCCTCGCTGGTCTCCTCAGCCCTCAGAGCGCGTGAGAAATCGGCTTATCGTTTCTCCTCGATGAGAGGAGAGAGGATGCGCGCGGGGGAGCAGAGGATGTGGATGTGAGAGGGTTTTTTTTTTTTGGGCGCTCGATGTGTCAGTGCAGGGAAGGAGCCAGGACCTGAGGAGCACTTTGCTCCTTCTGAATTGAGGTTTTTTTTTTCTTCAGGCTAAAATAAAGAAAGTGACACTTCATCCTAATGATGGCAGGCTTATTTTAACCATCTTCTTGTCATGGATAAATGGACCAATCGGACATGTTTGGATGGAATTGGTAGGGGTTAATAAAAAGAAACGATGCCCAAAGCGCATGGAGGGACCTCGTGAGAGCATCAACTCCCGTTCCAAATGGCCGAGCTTGAAGTTTGCAGAAATCTGAGTTTGGAGAAGGGTAAGAGATCCTTTGTCACCCTTTTCTTTGCTTCATTTTCCAGTCTTCATGGGGGGGCCGCACATTTTTTCTGGAGTGTCTTGTGCTGCACGCAGGCAGGAGCTCAGTTATTGCACTTGTTGTGGTGAAGGATTTCATCACCCACGCTGCTCCAAACACCRGAGAACAGAATCTTTAATCCCATCATCATCTTTATGACGACTTTGAGAATAAAAAAAATGAGTTAGGATATCTTAGAGGTGCTTTTTTAATGTAAACTGTTGAGCCGTTTTGCTCATTTGAGATGTTTTAATGAAGAGCAGATGTTTAACAGCTGGAAACTGGTCCCCTGGTGCCAAATTTACCCCCTTTTCTGTTTGTCAACAGGGGGCAGAAAAACCTCTGAATATTTCAGCTTGAAACTTCTCAGTCCAAATAGATTTTCCAGATTTATCGCATCCTCTTCACTGTTAGGAGAAATCACAGGGCTTTGGTGTGAAGATGTCCGAGTGCACAGAAGTGGACTTGATTTTTTTTTTGTACTTTGAGTTCTGCACAATGTGACGGAGCTTTGATGGCAAAATTGCAGCTTTCAGAGTGACCATGTTATACTCCTCTCTAAGTGGAGTCAAAAGCATCTAGCATGGCATCTAAACTGCAGAATGTCCCCTAGTACCTGAGTTTCTTCTTCTCTCTGACTGTTAGTGGGTTTAGAACAAAGCCCCCCTGGCTGCCTCAGGTGACAAGAAAGCTCCCTTATTATCAGTTTCGGCAACGTTTGGGTGACATGAGTTGCATCTAAGAGCAAGTTGATGGAGAGAGAGAGCAAGAGGGGGAACATGCTGCTACAATCTCCCCAACATGGAGGAAATGGCTTTTCCATGTAAAATGGGTTTCCCCCTTGTGTGTCTCTCCTGAGCTGATGATGATGAGTCTCAGCACGTCCACAGTCTTTCCTCCCTTTCCTCCTGCTTTTTGTCTCCACCACATCCTTGATGTAGCATAGGGCACAAACTGTGAGCAGAGACTGAGGGAGAGCCAGAGCAAACGGCTTTCTTATTTGTGCAATTTTAAACAGTCTAAACAGGTTTTTATTGATCTTTTAGTTTCTTTGACTGTTTCTGTTTCATATCTTGAATTTTTTGCCCATTTCCTTTCCTTTCCTTTCCTTTCCTTTCCTTTCCTTTCCTTTCCTTTCCTTTCCTTTCCTTTCCTTTCCTTTCCT